TAGAAACGCGTAAGCGCTGCGTTGCAATCTTACAGTTAAATATTATAAATATTGGTGCGAAACCCATAGAAATAAAAACAAAATTTGTACTTATTATTAATATATCTGATAATTTGATATGCATATGTCTATTGATCATTTTTGACCACTAAATGGCATGTTTATTAACTTTTTTTATTGCATACATCAGTTTTTTTCTAACAATAAGGTATTGTAAAATGTTCAAAACTTCAGAAACGTTAAGATATGCAAACTGTTCAATTTTCGATTTTTTGCGATCACTATAATTTACACTTCGGGAAGTTAACAAGGTTCAAAATTAATAACTCTTTGGAAATTATAAGAAAATGAAAATTACACATAATATTTAAATAAAACTATCTACTAACTAACTAACTTTCTCTACAGTATTAATACCTTAATATTAACGTTTCATTTTTCATTCAATATGCAAAAAGTTTTGAAATTGAAAAATTATAATCATAATTTTTATTTTGATACTAAGTAGTTGTAAGTAATAAATAGGCCACAAAATATGTTAAGTAAAGAACAAGTATAGAAATTGAGAATTTTCCAAGACTAAAACTTCTTTTTCCATTATCCGTTAGCTAGTTTTAAAACAGTTTTCTGAGAAATCTTATTTGTAGTATAATTTTATTCAAATCGAGATCGATGAACTGACGTTGGACTTAATATTTCAATATTCAAGATAAATTAAAATACAAACAGAAATTTTTATCGTTATCAAAATAAATATATGATATAATTGCTCGATTGCTGAACTTGATAAACGTTTATGCTTGAAATTATTTGCTTAGTTGAAATGCAATTGGAGATACGAGCTCTTGTGAAAAAATATGTGGGCGTTGAGTATATTTAAATATAATTAAAATAAAATCACTTGATTATAAAATTTAAAATAATTAATAATATGCATAATCTACACTTGTTATAAAAAAATATTCGAGTTTCAAAAAAAAATTTTTTAATATTTTTCTAAGTGCTTATATTTTCATTCATTAAAACCTTTAGTCATATATACTGCATTTATTAGAGACATAATCACACATCACAAGTTACATTGTCCGGTGTAAGGAATCACAGCATTTTTTTTACAAATACTAATTTTTGATTTTGTAATTTATTTAACCATTTAAATATTTTTTAGCATTTAATTTAATTAATATCTGTAATGAAAGCTGTCATATGTACAAACCATGCAATGCATCCTTAATCTTATCCATATTATTGTAATCTATTATTTTTGTTCACTTAAACAATTTTCACTAAAAATTTTGTCTTAGTAAACTTATTTTTTTCATAAATTTTTGAATTAAAACTTTAATTTTTTTTTTGAAAAAAAAAAATTATTAACACTCAATTAATAATTCGCGACGAGGTTCGCTTTTCCATCCAGCCTTATCGTTGGACTGACTTAACGCGACTATTCTGAGACGACTCCCGCGTTGCAATTGGAAAAGCGCTTTTGATAGAGTCGACGATGGTGGGTGAGAGTAGGACATATCATTAAACTACCGATAATTAAACAAACTCGGTATTATATCGATAATTAAGCACACTCGATGTTATATCGATAGTTACAACTATTTTTTGCATTTTTTGCAATTTTTGCAAAAAAAACTGAATCTCTATCTTTGGTTTTTAACGAGTTCAGTGTGATTGACGTGTATACTCGTCATAGAAAAGTGGCAAAATTTTGCGGACTTACTCGTCACGTGTTCAATAAATTAGTTACCGTTGGCTAATCAAATTGTAATTTAGGAAAACACTAGTGGGATGCATGGCATTGTGCGTTAAGGCAAATTGCTGGAACTTCCCGTACAGTAATTAAAAATCTTGGTACGGAACCCAAAAAAATTTACACAAAATGTGTACACATAATAAAATCTCTATAAAATATCTGATAATTTGATGTGCATATGTCTATAATGATCATTTTTGACCGCCAAAAGGCATTTTTTTAATTTATTTTTATTAAGGCTCCATAACCGCTAGATCTGCCTTCCCAAAAATTTAATCAATTATTCATCTTGTCAATACAAGTAAAATGTTTTTTAAATTATTAAAATCGGACCCTCCGTTTTCTTGTTGAGTTACCGTTTTTGACTCTTTTTATCCCTTTGCAATGGCTAGACCTGCCTTTGCCAAAAACTAATCAGTACGTCTCCTTATCAATACGAATCGAATGTTTTTAATTTAATCAGTTATTCATCTTGTCAATACAAGTAAAATGTTTTTTAAATTATTAAAATCGGACCCTCCGTTTTCTTGTTGAGCTACCGTTTTTGACTCTATTTATCCCTTTGCAATGGCTAGACCTGCCTTTGCCAAAAACTAATCAGTACGTCTCCTTATCAATACGAATCGAATGTTTTTTGAATTATACAAATCGGTTGATCCGTGTTTCCGAAATCGTCGACGAAAATTTGTATCCGCACACACATACGCACATACACACATACACACACACATATATGCACACACACATATACACACACATATATGCACACACACATATTCACACACATACACACACACATACATTCATTTTTTCTAAGGTATGCCAAAATGTTCAGAAACCTCTGAAACGTAAAGACATATAAAAATTTTCATTTTCGATTTTTTGCGATTGCTATAACTTGCCCTACGGGAAGTTAAAAAGTCATAACTATTCACGTTTTATAGTTCAAAATGAACTCTATTTACTGCAATTTATTTTTACTTAATTAACCATGATTAGCGAGTATACTCGTCATAGAGAAGTGGCAAAATTTTGTGACTTACTCGTCACGTGTCCAAAAAATTAGTTACCGTTGACTATTCAAATTGTAATTTAGAAAAAAACACAACATTCTCCAATGTCGACCAAGTCATAACTATTCATGTTTTAGGGTTCAAAATGATTTTTATTTACTACAATTTGTTTTTACTCAATTAACCATGATTGGCGAGTATGTTCGTCATAGAGAAGTGGCAAAATTTTGTGACTTACTCGTCACGTGTCCGAAGAATTAGTTACCGTTGACTATTCAAATTGTAATTTAAAAAAAAACACAACATTCTCCAATATCGACCAAGTCATAACTATATTCACATTTTAGGGTTCAAAATGAACTCTATTTGCTACAATTTGTTTTTACTCAATTAACCATTATTGGCGAGTATATTCGTCATAGAGAAGTGGTAAAATTTTGTGACTTACTCGTCACGTGTCCAAAGAATTAGTTACCGTTGACTATTCATTGTATTTTAGGAAAAAAACACAACATTCTCCAATATCAATCAAGTCATAACTATTATGTTTTAGGGTTCAAAACGAACTCAATTTACTACAATTAACCGTGATTGGCAAGTTTACTCGTCATAGAGAAGTGCCAAATTTTTTGTATTGACGAGTATACTCGACATGTGTCCAATAAATCAGTTACCGTTGGCTATTCAAATTTTAATTTAGAAAAAATAAACAAAACATATTCTCAAATAATACTAAAATCATGAGTAGTACTGCCATAGGGCTGGTTCGTGAGCAGATTAAACTCCAATTCGATTCAGGGAAGAATGATGTGAGAGATTTTTCATTGCGATTTACACCGCAAATGGGCTATTTTCAATTGGAAATTTATTTTTGATTTATATTCTCAAGTGAAGATATTGCTGCTGCACGATATCAGGTTGTCCAGAGCGCGAGCTCAAAGTCGCTACCTTATCCATACAAAGTCAACGCTTTAAACCACTGCGCCATGGAAGACCCTATTCCTTGATGTTTTGAAATATCATTATATATTTATTTACAATTTATTTACCTTTTGTTATGTTTTAGAGCTCAAATGAACTCTATAATTATATAATAATTTGTTTTCAATCAATTAACCTTGATTGACGAGTATACTCGACATGGAGAAATTGAACTTTTGCATTTATATGTATAATGTTTAATTGAATTTATTGCGATGGTCTTAAAAGAGCTTTTCGAATCAACAAATTTAAAAAAAACTCGGTTGCTAATATTCGTTTTTAATTATTTTCCTTATTTTCAAATTTAGAATTAGGTATTGTTAGCTGATAATTATTAATTCTTCTGATTCTGATTGAAATTTCTCAAATTTAAAACTTTGCTAAAATCGAAATTGTTTGTGAAAAAGGAGACTAGTGAAAATTTTAGCCATATAACACTCAAAGAGCTTTTCGAATAAAATATTCTGCATTTTGCATTAACATATTTCTTTTCCATCTTGCTCAAAATTTTTGCTTCACTATCGTTATTGCCTTACTTGCAAAATATTGTAAAACAGCGAAATGTTGTGTCATGTTCATCATTTAATTGTAATAATTATAGAGAAAGTTTAAAAATTATCTTTATTTGCACTAAACACAAATGAAAAAATGATAATCTGAAAAAATGTGCATGATACTAAAGAGGAATTAATATATTTTAAATCAGAACAATATTCAACATTTAATAAATAATATATTCAATGTAATAATAATTTATAAAAATCTGTTTTTAAATAATACTGCACACTACCATTAAAATTATATGTACATAGCCATATTAAAATTATAATTCTTTTTGAACTTTTGGTAAACTCAAAGAATTGCACTATTCAATGTTTTGTGAAATAATCTATGAGCATTGAACTTACATCTAGATTCCCTGATTGTTTAACAATCACCTAATATATAAAAATAATTAGGTATGGAGTACGCATTTTATAAAAAAGCAGGCTCATATTTTTAGAACAAACTTTTTTATACATTCATTTTCAAGTATATTTTGTTTCAATATGCATATTTTGCAGAAAAACAGGTACTCGAAAAAGTTCAAAGCTGTTGTGGTATACCACAATGTATTCCAAGCCTCAAGCGTTAACATCACTACTTTTGTATTTTATATATAACATAATTTAATAAATATATTATAAAACAAAGTTTAATAAAATGTACAATTATAATCCTAAATCATTTTTAGAAATGTTTGTGACAAATTAGGTAAGTTATTGCTTGCCTATTAATTATTGCATTGTATATTATTGTTTCAATATTTTAGTATTTATGGTGTATCTATAGATGTTGATCTCTGCAATTCCTTGTAACAACTTCGACAAACAGAAACTGGCTTGTTACTATCATGGCCTGGTAAAGGACTTTTGAGCGCCATACAGCGTGTGCAGAAAACATCACCACATTTATAACAATGATACTGAAACACAAAAATAATATTATAAGTTGAAGTTGTTAAAATATAAACCAAGTTTAAGAACACAAAGATATTCTAGAAAAAATTTAATTAAAATCGATTTGAGATTAATTTTAAATTAAGATTTGCTTCAACGTACCTTTACGCTATTATGATCAAATGGTGTTGAGCAAATGCACTGATTAATATTGCGTAATGTTTTCCAATCAAGAGCGACAGAATCAATGGCTGTAGATAACTGATCATCTTGAGAACTGGTGGCTTGAGATGAATTTTCAGTTTCCTAAATAATTGAATAAAATTTCATGATTCGTCTTTTCAAATTTTCTATTGCTTGAAGTACTTACATTTGAATTATTTGTATGTGAGGTGTCTGACTCCTCATCTATGAGTTGACTCATAGACTTTGCTTCATATTGGGATTTATTTTCCACTTTACTTTCTTCAGTTTTAGTGTTCAAACCAACTCTATTAATCAAATCTGTTGTGAGCAGCGTCTTGAAATAGGATATGCTCTGTAATAGAAATAGTAAGATACATACAAATCTTTTAAAACTGCTTTAGCATTATGTTTTAATATATACTTTTAATGCACATATTGTACCTTTTTCAAATAAGCTGCATGATCTTTCAATGATGCAGTGTGATCAGTTTGCGATAACAAATGATCACCTAAGGGTTCTCTAGGGTGAACACCATTTTCAAATCGATTATACATTCCTGACCAAAACCTATTAAAATAAACAATTAATATTGTGTGCTAATGCATTAATTGGTTGATGCATATATGAAAAATGAGTTTATAAGTATTTGATTAATACTTACATAATATTCTGTGGTATAAAATCAACATCAAGTAAATCTATGACATTCTCTGCTTTGTACAGTGGATTTAAATATTCATTCCTGTGTTTCTGCATATAACCCCAAAGCGAAAATGTTCTTTCTGATAATCTATAAATAAAACATGATATCAATTTTCAATAAAATTTTGGTTTCCAATACAAATGATTTTACTCTTACTTCAGATTGAGCCTATCTTTCTCACAATTTCCAACAAAAGTTCCAAATTGGCAAGACATGACATGGTCATGTAAAATAAATAAAAAGCGCTCTGTAAATTCAAAGGCATGAGGAGCTGAATTACAGAGTTGCCAAGTGGCATCTAATAATTGCGTAAAAACAGGTGCAACTTCCTTCGGTTCACCTTTCAAGAAACCACATCTATCAGTAAACTTATGACCAAAAGCTAACCAATCTTTTTCAATCAGAGTCTGAAAAGATTTATCATGTTATAAATTTGCTACTTTGGAAATGGATTTTTGCTACAACTTATTTATTACTAATTTTATATATAAAGGTAAATATTTAACAGTTCTCTCTCTAATTTCACCTGATATCCCTCAATTGTCCTGTAGTATGGATCTAATAATATACTAGCTATAGAGCACACTTGAGCTGTTCTATCCCAGCCATCCGAACAATGTACCAAGACCGTTTGCCCAGATGAAACTGCTTGAGCGATAAAACGAGATGTGTCCAATATACTTTTTATATGCTTAAGCCATCCAGAACTCTCCAACCCTGATAAGAATGAAGACATGGTAGGGAGCTTTTGTTCACACACTAAAATCATTTCACTCTTATTATAATAAATTATAATATTTTTGTTAAAATAAAATACTCTTTACAAAATAAAATATTTGCTACAAAAGAAAATTTGTACTCATACAAAGTTACAATTTTCATATTGAAATAACATTTCATTAAAATACACATACATATAAACATTTATTGTGATTCGAATTCATTTAAGGGGCTGTTTTGATCTAGAGTTCTAAAAAATCGATTGTTTTTTTGTGCATGTTTTCAAAATTTACCTAATCAAGGATGTGTGTATGAGAGGGTTTTCCAAAATTTAAATTGTTTTTGGAGATATAGTTGTTTGAGCATGATAATGCTCTTGTAAACTTTAAATGCATTTTTCTCTAAACTGCCATTTTTGTACACAATATTTCTAGAATTAAAAATTTGCGACTATTTTTAATTTAATTTTTTTTTGTATTCTCAAAATATTAAACAATAATTTTAGAAAACAAATAGTACAACCATTGTCTCCGTTTTTTAGGGCCTTTCAAAAAACGCATATAATTCATGCCTCTAGACCAGAACACCCTCTTAATGTGGATAAAACCAAACATGCAGTCGGTGTCACTAACCTTTCGCATGGGTATTATAATACTTACTATTACATATCTTTCTATACCGCTTATGCTACAACTTACTTTCCATTAATTTCAATAAACTGGCTCTCATTGTGTGAATATTTTCAATACCAAAGAACTTGAATTTAATATTTTCATAAAATACTTCATTTTCATATCCTTTACCAGCAGCTCTATTTGCCATTGCATTTATCTAAATATAAAAACATACTTTTAGAGTCAATTATTTAATAGGTATTTGCTTTTTAATCATTTTTAATAATACCCGAGGCCTAGTATCCACAACATACATATATGTAGATGAAGGATTAGTTTCTAGTATACAGTTTAATAATTGTTCATCCTCAGGACATCGTGCACTGAAACCTGATAAAGGTTGACTGCATCTGAAAAATACAATTATTTGAAATTTATTATGAATAAGTGCACAATTAGTTTGTTATGAGCAAATTTACAAATAAATTACTATATAAATGATTATAACCTGCATATTGAAGCCTTGTTCTTGTGTAAATATGTGAGAACCGGTAATCTTCCTTTGGATCGAAATTTTGCACTTCCTTGTAACATATTTATTGTGCTGTTAGCAGGCACATACAAACAATTAGGATAAGTATCACATAGCTAGAAATATATTAGAAGAAGAAATATAAATAAACTTTTTTTTATTATAAGAAGAGTGTACCTATTTACTTACCTCATAATTTTCATTTAAATCTGTGTAAATCCATTCATCATTTGGAACATTCATTCTTTTAAATTCATCCTCTAAATTAAAATAATTCCAACCTTCGCTCTTATGCATATCATTTTTATTTATGGTGTACTGGAAGCAATACAGATCATCGATAGAAACTGAAAACTGTCCCCATAGTACGAATCATTGAAATAATTACAATATGCAAACTTTTATCACTCATTGGAACTATTATTCAGTAATGCCCTGCTTAATAATGCTGGTACATTTAGCATTCTTTTTTCTCCAAAATCATGGTAGAAATAATAGAATTAGACAAAAAGATTTAGATGACGTCCATTTGGAAGATGTTGAAGAAATATAAGTTTATAAAACAGCAACTAGTCTTTCTAATGATGATCTAAAGAAATTAACTAAGTAAGAAGAGAACAAAAATATTGAAAGTAGTGTTTTCGAAGAGAGAATAGAACATTCAATGATGTTTGTAAATAGGTTTTTGATTATTGTGACCGAAATTATGGACTAATTTGTTGAAAATGATCCAGCTTTTGTCAGGAGTTCAAAAGCAGGGTGTTACAGATGCTTTATTCACTTATCAATAACTTCTAAGAACAAAGAAAAATATTACAAACTACAGTAAATTTTTGACAAAAGAGCAAAAAATTTAAAACACTGAATGGAGACCAGATGATTCTACTTAATTTGAATTTGATTGGATAGCATTAGTATGTTCGTTTATATCATTTCTACTTTTGTGTGTTATAAATATCAGGTTTTATTTATATTAAAAATAAAACCAGTGGTCAAGATTTGACCAGGATCTTTTGTATTTAACCTGAGACTCTTCTGAGTAGGACGTGTGCATAAAAATATCTATACTTTAATATAAGATTGAGAGTCTAGCAACAGGAATGAGAGAAGAAGATTGTAGATCAAAGATTCTGCTAAATAGTTAATTAATCAAAGTGATCTGTACTTGCCAGTTTAATACCTGGCTAACTTTATATTTATCTTCCCCTAACCGTTATTAAAATTTTAAAATATGTACCTCGATTAGTACTGTTTCACTTTACAGGACCTGCCTTAAGCAGAGTATTACTGTAATTATTATTTTCTCATTGTGCAATCAAATTTGAAATGCTATTAATGAGTACTAAGTTCATTTTACAAACCAGGTTGGGCTAATTGCAACAAAGTATTATAAACGTCATGGCTATCGTTTTCTTTTCTTATAAGAAATATTACTGATTGGAATGTTTTGCATCGAATTTGAAGTGGGCATCCTGTAGTACTCAACGGTAATCGTTCTACTGCTGCAATATGTGTGTGTAATATCTAAAACACAAAAATTAAAATAATTACCTAGATAGTAGAATAGATTTATTGCAAATAAAAATACCCATGTTTCATTTTTCGCATCAGGATCCACAAATATTAAATGAGTTGCTGTAATGTACAGTGTTCCTTTTGAAGGCTTCCGGCTGTTGTACCTGTCCAGCATCCGAACATTTTCGACCTTAACAAATTAAACAAATTGTAATTATTGTTGTTTTAATTCATATTTCATTTATTACCTTTGGGGTCCTGATAATTTCCATTCTATGAATTTAAATGTACGACTTTGTATGCCATGTAACAATTTTCCCAAATAATTTTTATCAATCCTGTAACACGTTATTAATGAATGAAGATTGGATATTATGCATTTTGAATTATTCCAATGTTTTGGGAAGGTGTTAAATTCATCGTAACTTGAATGAAAACATAAATGTCATTTTAAGTAAATATGATACATGTTTGGTTAGTTGCCAAAAGGGCAGGGTTGTGTAACCCATAACCTATGTAAAAATCGAACTTAAATGAAATATTGTTTTTCGTACCAGAAAATCCAAACTATCTGTAAGTGGAATTCTGTCTTGAGGCAATTATGGCATCGTGCCTTAAGGCAAATTGCTGGAACTTCCCGTACCGTAACGAAATGTTCGAGGAATACTGAATGTTTTCAAATAGATTATTATAAATATTGTAACATTGTCTAATATTTATAAGAATTATATAAACTGAATTGCAGAGTTGAAATTATTTGTAAAGTATATTAGAACTATAGTCAGAATTATTTTCGATATACAAAAAACTAAAAAAAAAAAAAAAAAAAAATTGGAACAAGACAAGCAGAAAGTTCTTTGAATCAATTGAATCTGACGCTTAGTTCTCTCAAAAACTGCCATTTTCTACATATTTAACTCCGTATCTTCAAAATGGCTGGGCCTGCCTTTGCCAAAAACTAATAAACACTTCTCAAAATCATTACTAATTGAATTTTTTTAGATCATTCAAATCGGATACTCCGTTCTCTCAAAAATTCGATTTCTACTTTTTGCACTCTTTGCTCGTTATCTCCGTACCTGCTGGACCTGCCTCTACCAAAAACTAATCAGCTCTTTTCCTTATCAATAGGAATCGAATGTTTTTTAAACCATTCAAATCGGTTCATCCGTACGCCCGAAAACGTGGGCGAAAATTTGTATCCATACATACATACACACACACATACACACACACACACACGTCCATTTTTTCTGAAGTATGCCAAAATGTTCAGAAACCTTCAAAACGTCGAAAAATGTAAAAATTTTCAATTCCGATTTTCGGCCCATTACAATAACTTACCCTACGGGAAGTTTTATTACTGATTTTATATTTTCTCGAAGTTTCAAGCATTATAAATATATCTTATTCTATTATATGGACCTCCAAGGGTCTAAGGAAACTTAAATGAAATATTGTTTTTCGCACCAGAAAATTTGATTTACTGATTTTATATTTTCTGGAAGTTTCAAGCATTATAAATATATCATATTCTATTATAAGGGCCCCCAAGGGTCCATGACAACATTCAAGGGATCAACTCCAGGAAAATATTGTTTTTCGCACTAGAAAATTCGATTTATTGATTTTATATTTTCTCGAAGTTTCAAGCTTTATAAATATATCATATTCTATTATATGGACCTCCAAGGGTCCATGACAACATTCAAGGGATCAACTCCAGGAAAATATTGTTTTTCGCACTAGAAAATTCGATTTATTGATTTTATATTTTCTCGAAGTTTCAAGCATTATGAATATATCATATTTTATTACATATGGACTCCCAAGGGTTCATGACAATATTCAAGGGATCTACTTCAGGAAAATGTTGTTTTTCGCACCAGAAAATTGGATTTAACGATTTTATATTTTATCGAAGTTTCAAGCATTATAAATATATCATATTCTATTATATGGACCCCCAAGGGGAAACAACTTTCAGGGGATCTTCTTCGGGAAAATATTGTTTTTCGCACAAATATTGTTTTTTACAATAACTTACCCTACGGGAAGTTAAAAACATCATTAACATGTTTGAAATTCTGTATTAAAAGTAACACTAAATATCTTTCATATGGAACATATCAGTATACACCCAGGCCTCGCTATACGGCCGCTCTTTATACGGCCTTTCGCTATAACGGCCCTCTTTAATTAAGGTACGTTTTCGATATACGGCCTAAAATGTTTCGCTATAACGGCTTTTTTTCTCTATGTCGATATATTGCGCAATCTCGGTTTTGAAGATTTAAACGAATCTGATGTGCTGGATCTACTTGCAACTGATAGGGAACCCCTTTCATATGAGGAACTCATTCAGTTGCAAGCAGAGCCGGCAATTGATGAAGATACAGAACCTGTTGTATCCAAACAGCTAACATCAAAAATCATGTCGAGCGCTTTTTCATATTTTGAACAAGGTATAAACATCTTCCTTGAAAACGATCCTGACATCGAACGTAGCGCTTATGTGTATCGAGGAATTAACTCAGCCATTAACTGTTATAAATCACTAAAGGAAAAAATAGACAAGAAGGCAAAACAAACAACTTTAGACAAATTTTTGAAACCACCACCGCAAAATGATGGTGACAGTGATCTGTAGGTTTTAGTTGTTTCATTTTTATTTGAAAATTATGTAATGTTTTTGAAGTTTTTTATTTTATGTAAAATTTATGTTCTTGTTAGATATGTTTATAATTTAAACAAAATAAAATAATAAAATGCATTTTGGATGAAACCATATTATATATTTATTAAATGTGGAACCGATCCCATTGAATTTGTATGAATACGTATTAGAATAATTGATTCGTTATACGGCTTTTCGCTTTACGGCCAAGATTTGCGGAACGTATCTAGGCCGTAAAGCGAGGCCCCAGTGTAATATTTTAGAAACTTAGAAATAGGATTAGGTTCGAAATAGAGACCTTTTTTGTATGAGACGGGCAGTGATCTAGAAAATGATACTAGCAATCCCAACTTACATACTTTTGTAATTTTCATTCTCATTTTTTGCAGAATTTTACATCTGCTATTTTTCTGTATTTAGGAAAACTGCAAATTAATTTCAATATCCACATTATTATTCCCTATTGGCTTGTACCAAAAAGAAGTAACACATGAAAAATTATATTAATATATTTCGAAATACTTATGTATTTTCTCAATTTTTTTCACATATGCATTCACATATAGAAAATAAAATAATGAAAGTTTTCATTTTCCAATCGTTTATATTTGTGTATCACTTTCAAATTTAGTCAATTTATTCTAGGACAATGACATGAAACAATTATAAACCTTTCACAAAAAACTTATGAATTATAATATAATGACAAGATGGGTGAATTATTTTTATATAAGATAAAATAAAAATCATACATATTTACAATTTATATATAATAGACTTAGAATAATGCAACCTTTGTCATTTAATAAAAATATATGTATTCTTATATATTAAAACTTGCATATAAAATTGTGTTTATCTACTAAATTTTGAAGCTCGATTCTAAACATTCCAAACATTAAAAAAAAGTTCAGCTTTAATAATATTTTTATAATTAAACATCTAAGCATTCATGGAATACCATGCACCGCTTATTCGATAATTAAATGTTCATAGCTTGGAAATATGGTATACACCTTTAAGATTCTAAATAAAATTTGGCTTTTTATAAAATAAGTTTCTTCTAGTCATCCAATTTCTTTTCTAAAATAAATACGTCTTATAAACTATGATAAAAAGTGATGAAAGTTTTATGTTTATTTGAGCTTCATTATGTTTCAATTCAAACGTCAGTTAAAAACTGATAAAAACCAAGTGAAGTTAAAACATTGACTTTTTTTTTTGGAATGTTTATCTAAGATTTATATGTAAAATATATCACACATAAATCAATTTTAAAAATACAGTTGATATATTTCAATTATCAAAAATAGTGTAATACATATTAAGGTAAAATATTACGTTTACCTACTTGTACCATATAAGATTTTTTTTTTTGGTTAAATAACATGTATATGAATTTATATGCATTTACATTGTGTGTATTATTTTGTACTATCTTATTAAATGAGTTAATAATATAAGCTACAAAGCTTTTGTTACTATGACATTATTTAATAAAATAGTGCAAAATAGATTGTAGTGAGTTCATATTTATTATATATATATATATATATATATATATATATATATATATATATATATATTTGTAGTGCTTCTAATGTAAAAAACGAGAAATTTGTGAAACTATTTTATATTTTATGAATAACTTTCCAGTAAAAGTAATATGTGGCCAAGTCTTCAGATAAAAAGCAAGATGGGTATAATATTTAGTATATACTAATTTACAACAAAACTTAGTTTATTTTATTAATTTAAATTTAATAAAACTAAATGATCTTAATGTACAGTACATCCTGTAGTTAAATTTTCTTAATCATTTTAATGAAATAAAATAGTTTCACACTTGTCATGTTTTTCCTTCTATTTTTAGCCTAAAATCTCTTTCTCTTATACATGTATTGGCTTACGTATATAATTTGTATGTGTTTATGCATAATTCAAACATACTGTATGAGTCTTTCAAGATATGTGTCTATTAAAAATATTTGTTTTTTTCTGGTTGGATTATTATATCACATATATGACAAATAGCTAATAATTAAGAATTACCTTACTTTGACAGTGAGTGTAAAAAACAATTATAAAATAAGAACATAACAAAAATGAATTTTGTATATCAATATCTATATAATAGTCAGTTGCAAATAAATAATATAAAACTCTAGTAAAAAAGTGATTAAAATTTCCTATGTAAAATATAACTTAATTAGTTAAAATATAGCTAAAATGTCAGATATTATGTCTGATATAATATTTACAAAATAATTACAATTTATAAATAAAAAATATATATATGTACAACTAATTAATCACATTCACACAATTATAAATAATTAACGTAGATAATATTTTGTGATGAGAAGTTTGCTCATTTATTTATTATCAATACAGAGATAATAAATAGAATTTTATAATCAACTATATATGACCATAACATTATGAGCAAACTTCTCATTATAATTCATATTATTGTATACCATCAAAGAAACAAATAACATTTACATTAAAATTATGTCAGCGAATCTAATATCTACATTATAAATAAATACTTCACTCAATAGGATTCATACAAATGAAAACAAAACATCAAACGAATAAGAAAACAAAACACAATACTTAATGGATGATCACAGCTATTATTTAGATTTTGGGGAATATATATTTCCATGTTGTTGAGAAGGCTTCTTTGCACTGGGCTGACTTTTATTTTGAGCCTGCAAACTTCTCACAAATTGTATCATGGCTGCAGTGCCAAACGTACTCTCCAGCTGATTAATTTTTAATTGCTGG